TGTATTTTTCTGTACTAACATATCTTCAGAATTATGATTCACAATTCTTTGTTTTTTCCTTTTTTTAAAAGGAGCTAATCTCCTTATTCCATGATGAACTTTTAAAAAACTATATCCTTTATTTTATTTGTCATTATAGTTATTTTCAATTTGACCAGAGTGAAACACAGAGAGAGAGAGAGAAAGCAAGAATGTAAACCACCAGTTCCGAGATTTGAACCATGGTCAGCCATGTGGGAGTCCAGTGCCCCTAACCACCAAGTCACCTACTAGCCCCCACATTTCAATTCTTACAGGATTCTAAGCAATCCTTCCTATCTGGGCTCCTGTGGCTGAATGTACAGATGTGCTGGGGCTCCAGTGTGTGCTAGAGCATTTATAGAGCAGACCCCAGTAACTGCTACATACCAGGTTGTTACTATTTTGCAGAAAGCTAGCTGTTCAACTTTCACCTGCATGCTACTGTGTACAGGTTTCACATAGAACATATATGAAAGTGGGTATTGTACAGTGGGTCCAATTTTTATTTACGGACTACAGACTCAAAGGTGCAAAACAGGTAACTATTTTCCTACAACTAAACTTGATTTCTGTCTCAATCCTCCACTCTCACCAGTAGGCAAAAGCTTAATCTACTCACTTACAGGTGAACCCAACCCTTTTTTTTTTTTTTTTTTTTGAGAGATTTTCATTGTAGGGCGCGTGCGCTCGCCAGACAGACAGAGAGAGAGAGACATAGAGACAGAAAGCGAGAAATCACCCCCCAGGGGGGATGGTCATGCCGCAATCCCTTCTCCTCCATTCTCCTCTCGGGATCTTGGGCACGCACGCACACGCGCCCGGCGTGAGTTTTAAGCCACCGGGTTCGGGACACGAACCGCGGTCGACTATGTGGGAGTCCAGCGACATAACCATTACGCTAACTGCTGGTTCCCAACCCAACCCTTTTGAGTTTCAGTTTAGATGATGCAATACTTGTTCTTCTCTTCCTCGTGCCCCCACCCCAGGGTGGCATGCAAGGTGGGCAGCAGTAGGGAGGATCATCCACTGGTATCTGCTGAGAGTTATCCCTTGGGGCCTTTGAGCATTGGCATCCAGTCTCCTGACATCTCCTGAGGTTCCCCAGGCCCCATAAGCCCTCTAGTTGCCCAGTCTCCACTGCCATTTTTGAAATCCGTGCCCTCATCAAGTGTCAGAAGTATTTATGTATCCCTCCTCTGGAGCTCCTGGGCCCTCTCCCTCCACTCTGCCTCCTCCAGGAATAAGAAGGAAAGAAAAGGAGCCGTCTGTCACCTAACTACACAGCATCCTGTAAGGTAAACTGTAAGGCTGGGCAGAGTCTTCAACAAATTCATGCAAAATATGTATTGTGGAAAGACTATGGGACTGGCCCCACTGCTCAGCATTTAAGGGAGCTGGATCCCAGGCATGTGGGCATACATGCACAAAATCCTGACAAGATAGAGGAAGAGGGGAGAGGGGACTGTGGCACGTCCGTGACCCATTGCAGGTTATGTTCCCTGTCTCTGATAAGTATACACACCCTCTAGGAAGTTAAAAAAAAAAAAAATGAAAGAAAGAAAGAAAAAAAAACTATGCATGGATTTCAAAATGTTTTTGTACTCAAATAAAACTGTACTTTAATTCCATTTTTCCAGGAACTTTTGGAAGTTCCCCCCCATATGTCCATTTTAAAGAAACCCACCTTCTCAGAGGTTAGGGGCCTCATGGAGGGCCATGCTTGGGTTTGAGTCCAGTTTTCTCTGACTCCAAAGCCTGAATCTTTTCGTCTTTCCCAGACTGCTGTATTCCCTGTGAATTTAGCGTGTGCTTTTGGCCTTGGTGAATTAGGACATGGCTGCTCGGATAATCATAGGATCTACAGTTCCATCACGGACCCTCCACCAGCTAGGACCTCTCCTGACTCTCCACAGCAAGAAGGAGATCAAAGATAAGCACGCCTGGTGACAGGGCTGTGGAGCTGAATGAGGCTGGACCTAAGTCAATTCTCTGTGACTTAAAGCCATGGGACATTTTACAGCCTTCTAGCCCTTAGGCTGTCCCATTCCTTTATCAGGATTTATTGCAGTTCCCTGGTTCCCAGTTGGCCACCAACATCATGTGTCCCAAAAGAGAGGGACACAGGACCCAGGCAGTGGAGGGGTTTTTCCCCAAACAGATCCCCTATGGAAGAGTCCCGAGAAGTCCTGCTGCAGGGAAGGGCAGGGCAGAGGGGGAGGAGAGGGGCTCATCTCTCACAACCTCCTGCCTTGCCCATTAGCAAATATGAGGAACCCATAGTCCCCCCTTTCATAAAATTTTATTTTTTATTAGAGAGAGAAGAGAGAGACAACCTTTTTCTTTTTTGTTTTTTTGCCATAGGGCATGTGCACACGCCCGATGGAGAGAGAGGGAAAGTGATACTACCCCCAGGGGCATGGCCACGCTGCAATCCCTTCTCCTTCATTCTCCTCCTGGAATCTGGGGCACACACACACATGCACCCTGCGTGAATTTCAAACCACCGGGTCCGCAACTTGTACCACTGCAGCCATGCGGGAACCCGGTGCCTTAACAACTGTGCCACCTGCTGGCCCCGAGACAGCCATTTTTGACAGGGTCTGCCCATGTTGTTCTTCTCTTTCCCAGCCTCCCGGTTAGCTAAGGCTACATATGCAGACCACTGTGCCTGGCCTGTCGAGGTGAGCCAGGGACTGAACCCAGATCTCGCACTTGGCAATGTCGCCCTCTCACTTCCTCTCACTGGTATCACTACAGCTGGGCCTGTATTCTTTTTTCTTTCTTTTGATAAATATTTGTAATTTTGATCAACATAATTATAGATTCACATGCATTTGTAAGAAACACTGCAGAGAGCTCAGTTTACCCTGAGGGTAAGAACTCACATAACGATGTATAATCTCACACCCCAGATACTGACAGAGATGCAATCTGTCAGTCTTTCACATTTCCCCAGTCTTGTCTGTACCCGTTTTTTTTGTTTTGTTTTGTTTTTTTCTCCAGTTTGCTAAGGGCGTTCAGGAGATGGCCATGCTACAATCCCTTCTCCTTCATTCTCCTCTCTTGGGCATGCGTGCACACGTGTCTGGCATGTTTTTCAAGCGGCCGAGTGTAAGACTCAAACCTCACAGTGAGCTCCAATCACCTTAACCACTAAGTCATCTGGCCGTCCCACCTGTACTCATTTTTACACACACGTCTACACAGTTTCATCGCATTTGTAAGTTCGTGAATCCACCACCACAGTCAAGTACAGAATGGTCCCACCTCTACCAGGATTCTTCCAGCTGCCCGCCACACTCCCTCCCTCCCCACTGCCCCACTCCTGGCTGAGGTTGGGAGTAGGCTACAGAGTTGAGACCTTGTTGGGTGATGCTCTCTCACTGCTTGTCTCTCTCACTCATGTAAGAAATACATAGACCAGGGGAGCTAGCAGGTGGAATGGTAGTTAAGGTGCTGGATTCCCACATGGCCAACCATGGTTCAAGGCCCAGGTCCAGCAGCTTGAAGATCACACCAGTCTCTTGTGTGTGAATGTCTGAAATCCTGAGAGGAGAATGGAGGAGAAGGCATTGTAGTATGGCCATCCCCTGTAAGGGGTGATTTCTCACATTCTCTCTCTCTGTGTCTCTCTTTCATAGGGCCTGCATGCTATGGCAAAATCTGAAAAAAGAAAAAAAAAATACATAGACTATGGCCAGTGGTTGTGTGGTAAAGGTGACTAGATCTCACATGGCCAGCTGCATGGTTCAAGACCTGGACCCGAGGTTTGAGAAACACATTGGCATGTGTGTATATATGCCCCAAATCCCAAAAGGAGAAAGGAAGGAATTGCAATGTGACCATTTCCCAAGGGGTGCTTTCTTCCTCTCCCTCTCCCTCTCTCTCTCTGGCTCTCTGTTCTGTTTCTCTCAGGTGAATGCATGTGCCCTCTGGCCAAAAGAGAGAGAGAGAGAGAGGGACCAGCAGTTAGTGTAATGGCTATGTCGCTGGACTCCCATGTAGTCGACTGCGGTTCGAGTCCTGGACCCGGCGACTTAAACTCACACCGGGCGTGTGTACATGCGTGCCCAGGATCCCGAGAGGAGAATGGAGGAGAAGGGATTGTGGTGTGGCCATCCCCCCTGGGGGTGATTTCTCGCTTTTTGTCTCTCTGTCTCTCTCTCTGTCTTTCTCACACTTGCCCTATAGCAAAAAAAACCCTCAAAAAAAAAAAAAAAAAAGAGAGAGAGAGAAGAATAGCAAGACCAATAGTCTGCTTTGCTTAAAATTGAGGGAGCTTCTGACACATGGAACTTTCAGGTTTAAAAACTGAATGAGACTGTGGCAAAAGGAAACCCTCTTACACTCTTGGGTAGGAATGTAAAGTGGTGCAGCCTCTGTGGAAAACAATATGGAGGTTTCTCAGGAACCTACAGATAGAACTCCCATATGACCCAGTATTCCCACTCCTTGGTATTTCCTCAAAGGATAGGAAAACATTCAATTGGAAGAGTGTGTGCATATATCCATGTTTGTTGTAGCATTATTCACAATTGCTAATACATGGAATCTACCTCAGTGTCCAAAAACTGATGGATGATTGGGTTGAAAAACTGTGACAGATATATACTATGGAATATTACAAAGCTATAGGAAACAATGAGACCCTATCATTTGACTCAGAATGAATGAATGTGGAAGACTTATGATTGAGAGAAGCGAGCCAGACTTCGGAAGACATACACTGTATATCCCTGCTCAATTTGTACTGTGTCTGCCTCTATGGCAGAGGTTGAGAGATCTGAAGCTGTGCTAGTGTAGAGGATTGGTGTGGATGTTAGAGACGTAGTGTGGTAGAGAGTGGGTGATAAAGGGTGGGTGTGAGGTGCAAGGGAAGGAACTATTTGATAGATGGGAAAATGTAAAGTTCTCTGTTTAAAGAAAAAAAGAAATAGAGATTATTTTTTCCAATACAAATGGTTTATTCAACTTTGCAGATCATCCCCTTGGGCCAAGCTGTCATCCTAGACATCCAGCACCCAGCACAAAATCCAGCGCAGGCTCCAAGCTTCTCTTTCCGACTCTGAGTGAGCACATCGCCCTCACACACAGGGCCTTTCCCCTTACGGATAGTGGAGCAGCTGGTGTCCATAAATTCCACGCGTACCTGTGTGCTTTGTCCCTGAGAGCCAGTCCTGCCCAGCAGTTTGGTGACCCTGGCCAACTTGATGGGCTGTACACGACTCGTGTCCATGATGGCGCAGCTGCGGCTATTGGGTGGAGAACAGAAATAGGGGTTTTAAAAACTGCATGGGGCGGGACCAGCCGTTGGTGTAATGGCTGTCACTGGATTCCATGCAGTCCACTGCGGTTCGAGTGCTGAACCCAGTGGCTTAAACTCACACCGGGCGTGTGTGCGTACATGCCCAAGATCCTGAGAGGAGAATGGAGGGGTGTCCCTGCCTCCCCGGGGGATGATTTCTCGCTTTCTGTCTCTCTGTCTCTCTGTCTTTCTGGCGAGCGCACATGCCCTATAGTAAAAATCTCTCAAAAAACAAAACAAAACAAAAAGCTGCATGGATGTCTACTTTTTTGCACTGAAATAAACTCATACTGTAATTCCAGATTTCCATGAACTTTTTGAAGTCCCCATGTATGTACATGCATTGTTTTTGTTCATTTCTAAAAAGTTTATGGCCAAAATTTGTTACACGGTGCTCTATTGACTTCCATTAAATTGTTTTTTAAAAAGAAATAAATAAAAACCGAATGACTTAGAAATCCTTTCTGGAGAGGGGCCCCAGAGCAAGTCTAACTGCAATGACCCACGCCATAGCTAAAAGG